GCCTCAGGCACCATTTAAGGTGGAATGGGACAATTCGAATGTGAAACAGGAAAATGAGAAGCAACTTCAGTCTTGTAAAAAGTCGAACATTCAGAGACATCTTACAGGAAACTTGCGGAAAATTTTCTTGAGATGCGAGAAAAGCGGCTACAACTGAGCTAAAGGTTAAAGTAGAGCAAGCTAAGTCTCAGTTTTCGTTTATTTAATTTTTAGCATGTACTAGTACATTAGCACATACTGAGACATTTTTACAGCCAAGTAAAACAGACATAAAATGTTGCTGCTCCCAAGATGGTTTCATTTGTGTTGAAAGGACAAAATGGCTCTTCATAACATTAGAGTTGCGACCCCTGAGTTAAGCCTACTAGTAAGGGGTGATCAGTGCATGGGACCCGCGCGTGCTCGTTTGCTCGAACTGTCTGTGGCTCAGTCGTTACTGCACCATCGCCACCAGCCCAGTTAATGACCACGTTCTATGGTTCACATTTTGCACGGATTGACTGAAGCCTGTAGCGAAATTGTAGCAAAAATTATCGCTATAGCTACACAAAAATTTGTAGGCGCTACAGCTATTAGCTACATTTAATAAAACTGTAGCAGCTACAGCTACTAGCTACAAAAATTGTAGTTAACTACAAAAAGTAGCGCGCTACTTAGCTACTCCCCATCCCTGCCGGAGAAGCAGTGTTTGATCCCTGCTCGGGATGTCTTGAATCCAGGGTTGGTGGCTGATCCTACTCCTAGAGGTTGTCCTAGGAGGGATAGTTTTGGTCTTGTTCCTGGTCCCGTGGCTTTTGAACAGATACTCTGTCAGTCCAGCGCTGTGACAGCTCCAGGGTTGCTCCAGTTCCTGCCTCTGGTCATGTGAGGGGTGGTCGTCTTGGTCATCCTCGTTCCTCGGCCTTCCCGGATTCCTTAAAATTGAACTAAAATCAAATAAAACAGTTGCAGGCTGAGTGGAGGTGGTTAGTAACTAAAAGTTAAATTGTTCTTTTGATCATTAATTACAATTTGGGTTGGAATATCAATTGATTTGTTTTTGAGCAAATTTACTGTCTTCCATTAGTTAACCAGTTCAGATTAAAATCACGTAAGATCAGCATTTCTGAGTTGATGTATGGATTTAAAAGTTCAGTTTAATCATCTAAAGTATGAGAGGGCGTGGAAGGTTATCTATAGATCCCAACTGCCCAACTTTCCCAACTTTGTGGGTACAGTTTAGGGAAGGCCCTTTTCTGTTCCAGCATGACTGTGCCCCAGTGCACAAAGCAAGGTCTAGTTGACCTCGTGCAAGGTTGGGTGAGCTTGGTGTTAAAGAACTTGACTGGCCCACGCAAGGTCCTGACCTCAACCCAGGGCCACAGGAAACCATGGTGGCGGACATTTGACCCACCAATTTTCAAAGTTCTGCGTTGATGCCCCACTACTTTTTGTGTTTAGGACACACACATAAAACCTCTGTTTTTAGTAAACTGCATGAAGTGCTGACCAGCATGAACAGGCAGAGTAAAACTCATCTTTCTTTCAGCTGGGAGGCGCTTTCAGACCTGCCTTGTTTGGGAGCGGACTGTCGAACGTTTTCTTAAGTTTGGTTTTAATATGCGACTCCACCCGAATTCAGGCAGCATCAATCAACTGAACCTCACTAATTCATGAGAGAATTCAACATGTTTTTTTTTCCAGTGCACATTTTTTGCTGTACCATCTGCACAACCTGCTGCTTTAATTTGTTACTCTTTACAAACACTCATATCGTTCCTGCACTGCAAGCTGCATAACAAGAGACAAGCAATAAAATAATGATATACGATACCTAAATCAATACTCAAGTAAAAGTATTGATACTTGCATAAAATAATTACACAAGTAAAAGTACTTTCCCCAAAACAACTTGAGTAGAAATACAAAAGTAGCTGGTCAAAAATCTACTGCAGTGGAACATCTTAGTACATTCAGCATTTATCATCATAGGAACTGTAGATTGTACACCTCTGTTCTTCTCTTTTTGGGATTTTTTTGGTGTAAAATACAAAGCTCCAAAGTCAGAGATGTAACTGATCACAAATCAGTGCAAATATTGCCACCACCAAACACAAAAAAATGGAATTAGCAACTAAATACAAATGGCCAAAATGTAAGATGGAGTAAAAAGATTCCTTTAGAATAAAAGTAAAAATAATGTAATTCAAAAAATACTCAGGAGAGTAAAAATCATCAGTATTTTAGTTAAGTGTATCCACCTCTGAATAGGTTTACGAAGACATGTCATTAGTATAACATGCAAGGCACTGTTAGTCAGTGGCCTAATTGCATTTTGTCAGTTGGCCAGCCACATTTTTTTTTGAAACTGTATGTTTTGCCCCACCACTTTTGGGGGCGTCACCCCTGCCTCATACCCATCAAACACCTTTTGGATGAACTAGAACGGTTATTGTGAGACAGAGCCTCTTGTCCAACATCAATGTCTGACCTCACAAATGCTTCTCTGCATGAATGGGCAAAAAATCCCACAGACACACTCCAAAATCTTGTAGAAAGCTTCCCAGAGGAGTGGAAGCTGTTATAGCTGCAAAGGGGGACCAACTCCATATTAATGCCTATGGATTTAGAATGAGATTCAGAAAAGTCAGAAAATCCCTGGTTGAGGGACATTACTTTAAAATTGTTGGATTTTTTGCTGATGCATTGTGACCCATCTTTGCTCATATAAGACTATGCTTTTCCTGGATGCTCCTTTAATATCTTAAGCATGACAGCATCACCTGTTTAACATGTTTTTTATTTTAATGTTTTACAATGGTTTTAGTGTTATGCCCCTGCCACAACTTTTTTGGAACATGTTGCAGGTATCAGGTTCAGATTAAGCTTGTTGATAAGGTAAAATATTACATATCTGTACTGTTTTTGTTCAAATATAGGTCAAAGTAGATTTGTAAAACTGCTGCTTTCTGTATTTATTTGCATTTTACGTACTGTCTCAGCTTTTTTGGAATAAGGTTTCTAAAATAAAATTACACTCAACTTATTATTATTAATTGTAATCATGAATGAGCAAAATAAAATGTTTTTTTTAAGTCAACTAAGTCTATGCACATATATTTTAATATAGGTTACATAGATTGCCTCATAAACAAATATTGAGAAACAAATTGAAAAACATGCTACAAATTAGGAAAGAGTGGAAGAAATAACATGCTTTTGGGCCACAAACCTCAGCACTATTTTCAGAGCTAAAGGGAAAAAATGTTTGACTTTTACTTTTTCCCTTGGTACACTTTGGTACTCACCTAACTAATCAAAGTTGTGGTCACTGCCTTGGTTTCTATGCCATGTTTTAGCATTTTCTTGGTGTGATAGGTCAGCACTTCACCTATCAATATACTTGCATAAAGTGCATTTAGAATTTGTTTAAATATTCAAGACATTCAAGAAGATGGAGCCAGGGACCCCTACTTTTTACTGCTGTAGTTAATGTGTCCCAAGAGCTTTTTTCCCCGAAGGGAGGAGACATAACAATTTATTGATTACCATTGTGCATTATTACATGCTTTGTTAGCAATGCAACTTGCCTACCCTAGAAGGATGACAAAGTTACCATAAGTTGCTTTAGACAAGATTTAAATTTATTCCTTTTTTTCACATTCCAGCAGATATCCACAAAATGGGTTTCATCAATCTGTCGTAAATCAAACAACCATCATAGGTGGTTTAAAATCTCACTCTCTCACTTACTCATCATTTAAGTCACCTATCCTCCTGGGTTGCAGGGGGTGCTGGAGCCTATTCTAGCACTCACTGGGAAGGTCGCCAGTCCATCACAAGGCAGTCACACAGACATACAGTGTTGTTTAAATTCTATTTAGACTTATTCTATTTTAAATGGATTTAATGAGTAAATATACTTTCATGTAAGTGTTATGCTTTTCATTTTTTGTGATTCCCTGGCTGGAAATGTTGAACAGAATTCCAAAAGCACAGACGATTTACGTAATATACTGTACCATTGCTTGTGGTTATGGACAAAGGCCTGTCTGCTACTCCTTTGACCCAACAAAAAAGGCTTAGACAAAGCATGACTTAGTTATTATTAAGCAATACATGTGGGGTAGTGCATGATTTATATGATTAAGTGTATAAGTGGTATTAATAATGACAGATTATCATTTTAACACTGTGCTACCAACATTGCTATGAATTTGAGTTTTAATGCACCATATGCAAATAAAAGCCATTTCACACTTACTTTGCAGAGACAAAATTAAACCATGTTACTGGCACAGACAATCCCAGTTATGTATCAGTTATGTCCAGAAATTTCCTCAATCTCCTCTACCAGTACATTTCTCATTACTGCATCGGCAAGCTTAATGTTCTGGGGTTTTCAGAATCAGAATCATTTTATTTATTTATTATGACATTTTGTTTGTTGCAGTAAAGTGAGAATGACTGTCCATATCACACACAACACTGGCAGACATACTGCACCATATCAACAGTCATCTTTCCAAAAACTCTCAACACTGGAGTTACTCTCAACAGCATTGGATCTTTTTCCTTTTTTATCAATGTGTAAAAATATAAATACATCTTATTCAGTTCTTAAGTGAAAGTCATTGATTTAATTATTGATTATGACACAGTTCTACTCCCTGTTATTTCCATCTACTTCTTATCCATTAAATCGGACCACAGGGCTGGATTTAGAATTTGTAAAGTGTACCAGCATATGGTATATGGTTGAGCAAAGTAAAATGTTTTGTGTCATGACCAGCTTTAGTCATCTGCAGTGCTGAAAGCATTTTGTTATGCTTAGGTGCTCTTCTGCATCAAACAGCCTCCATATAGCCTTATCAATAATAAAAGCCTGTGACAAGCAACCTTGACAAAGAAGTATCTGTAGAACAAAGTGCTGTGGTGAACCATTGCCCTCTAAAACCTGCCTAAACTGAAGAAAGAGCAAAGCTCAGGAAGTCCGTGTAAGAGCAAACATTACCGTCACATCAGTAGGGCATGGGTCTTTATTCACATCCTATACTTTATTTTACAAAGCAAACCTTTTATCCCATATTCAACAAAACAGATATACAAACAAATAAAAAATATTTGTGAAGGTCATATAAAACAATAACCTATCTTCTAGCAGCATCCACATCTTAAACTTCCTGGAAGTGATCCTTTGAAAGTATGGTTTTAGATCTCAGAGAAGTTATACAGAGCACTGCTACTATATGACTATTACTCTTTTTAGTGCACACAGGAAAATATTTTGTTAAAATAACAATAATGGGTTGAATAGGCTTAAATAAGAGTGCTAAAGTACAAGACACTTTTCTGAGGTACTTCACAGAGACAAAATAATTTGGCGTTTAGAGTTAGCGGTCATAGGAATCTGATACTGTCTATGATATCGTCTGACATCTTTCAACTTAGATTGTCAGGTTACAACAGTGTTATGACTGGACAATGTTTTTGCATGTGGATACAAAAAGAAAAATAGAGAAACAGAAAACTGATTATTCTTTATCACCAATGACACCAGACATACTACCATTTTCATTGCTTCTTTTTTTTTTCTTCAAAATTTCAACTGTAAAATTGAACAACATGACACAGAGCAAATCATATTTAACAGTTTTGTCAATATCCTATTACCAAATTACCTGCTACAGTTTTGTAACAATGAATTACTTACAAAACGTCATACAAGCAGATAACACTACACCGAGTCACTGGGGGGAACCTTCAAACACAAAGGCATGTATCTGGCTGGTTTAACAAATGACAAGGATGGACAGTGACAAAAGCCAGGACTAAATTAAGTACAACATTTGCTTGAGGATAAAAGCACAAGATCTTACAGTTTAAACACACATTATTGCATTACATTCATTTTCAGGTTTCCTTATGTTGGTACTTCATATGAACTACTTAAACATTTTTTCCCATTCTACCCTTAGTTACCACCCATTATTTCTCATCTAATCTCATTCTCCACTTTCGTACCTAAACCACACCCATCACCAATCCCTGTAAAAGATGATGCACTATTAGCATGTTAGCTTAAGACACATTCACATTCAAATGATGAAAGGGTACATTTTCTCTAACAGCCTATGTTTACATTAGGCTACACAAGTTCAGATTGTTTAGTTGCTAAGCTAAAGAAGAAGAAAAAAACTCAAGCTTTTCTATCCACTGAGTTGAGGAACCACTCTGTGAAACGTCGCAACTGGGCAGCAGCAGTTTGGCTCTCCTCGTGCAACCGAAGGTTGTCCTGCCTGAGATGCTGCACTTGTTCCTGCAGCATAGCCTTGTCCTGTTGCTCCTACAGTGACAAATCCCAACACTCAGTTAAGAGCTGTTAATGTTCTCTTATGTAAACAAAAAAAGCTTATTATCATTTCCTTTTTTTGCTAATGGCTGGCATAATTGCTTTAAAAATGATTTGTAACTGATGGTTGCTGCTTTTTTTTTTAGGTAATTAAGACAAATGAGTATAGTCAATAGTTAGCTATAATGTGTTTCATGCTAAGAGTTATGCTAAGAAACAGCGGCATATTCTACTTTTGGAACCTGTATATATGCAACACGAAGAAAGAAAACTCTTGAAACCAGGGGAGAGACCCCTTTTGTATCTGTTAAGCAGCAATGAGACTTTTACCTTCTTCAGATCATGTTGAAGCTGTCTGAGAATGATCTCTAACTGGTTCACTTTTCCAGAAAGGAGAGCAGGTGAGCCATCCCTATAGTTTCAGACAAAGAAGTTACACAGTACATACTTCCCCCTGTTGTCACTTTCCATTGACAATAAACATGTTTCCACCCCGTGCTTAAGCAACTGTGGGGCCTCACTCCCTCCTAGAGTCCAGGCTCACCCTGCTTCCAAAGCTGAATCCTCTGCAGCTCTTGTGTTAAGTCCCTTTGAGATCTCCAATGCCTGTGTGGTCTGTTCCTCTTCATTCAGAGAGCATGGCAAATCCACATTCTGGTCTGAAATATTAAGAAAGGAACAATCACTACTGCAAACAACAAATGAAAATCAATATACAGAGTAAAACTGTAAAATAAGACCCTCAATCGTGGCTCCAAAAGAAGAGTTAAAGGGTCTTACATATGTGTTATGTATGTATCTTATGTAGGTGTTGTGTAAGGGCTGAGAGAAACTCGGTGAGGAAATTTGTTAGACACAATTCTCAATTTTGGCTCTGGCAGAGGTGGTAAAGGCATCTGTGAAGCACCTCCAGGAGACAAAACTGCTAATAAGTTAGAGAGATCAGATAAAACAGAGGAGCGTAATAACATGAGTGAGAGCCTTCACATATTTTTAGGTGAGCTTAGCAGAACACAGTCAGTCTGACATGTCATTAAGTAGTCAGAAACTGAAAGCACACAGGCAAGTGATGTTTACCTTCCAATAAAAAAGGCAGGGGATAACTGATGAGAGCAGAAGAGGGAAAGCCACACTACATATAAAAATTGTTAAAAAGACTTTTCCGGCATTTAATACCAATCACATTTTAATAGGCATGTTTTCTGGCCTCATTTGTCAAATCATCTTCTTGTATTGTAAATAGTGGATAATTTCTTTATTTGGTTTGCAAAGGACACTAGCAGTGTTTTATTTATATCTGTCTTATTGCTCTGTCATATCTGTTAGAAATTTTATGTCATGAAATATACAAGGTGAAGTCCAGGCACGTATCTTTGTACAGACAGCTGAATACAAATGAGCAAGAGGAGGTCTCACCCATTCTAACACCTTTCCCCTCTCCTTTCTTTTTCATTTCATCAACAGGATCTCACAGTTAGGGGGTGTTGCTGGAGATGGAATTAAAATGTACTAATTATCAGGGTCCTGAGCCCACATTCACACTTTGTGCACACACAAACAAGACATGGTAATCAGCATTAGGGCCTGTTCACATTCTCCGGGTTATGCTACCTTCCAAGTTCCAGTCATTAGATAACTGGTTTCACATCAAACACTATTTTTGAGAACAGCTCAGTCCATATTTTTATTCCGAGCATAAGCCCACTCCATGGATGCTGCCACAGCTCAGTTATAAATAAAAAAAAAATAAACTCAAACAAATCCAGAGAAAAGCAGAAGACATGCTATCAGTTTGTAAAGATGAGCTGCCAACTCTCAGAGCCAAAATCCCATGCCTTTGTCATATATTTGCACAATGCAAAGGGAAATTAATGATGAAGGAATCCCTGTCCAGCAAGAATCTGTGGTGGACCACACTGCCTAAAGGCCACAGAACAGTGTAACTGCACTCAAGCAAAAGAGACCAAAACCTAAATACGTAATTAAAGTGAGCAGTGGGTTTCGTAATTTCTCTAAGTGGTGTCTTGCTGGGTACACATAGCGATGGTGGTTTTAATTAAAAGAAAAGGCGAAATTTGAATTAACTTAGATGGTGACTGACTGTTAATGATGAATATCATGACTAAAAAGCTCTGAGAAGGTGAAATTAGAGCCTAGGTCACATACACATTTGAGGCATCGAACACTTAAATAATCTCAAAACTCTTTTTTGTCATCCTATTCCTCTTTCCTATGTTCTTACAAATGCATACTTTTATCTTAACTTAATTTAGATGATGCATTTGGACACCTAATCTGCACAGATGAATACAGATTAGATAGAATAACCTGGCTCTATTAAGACTTCTTAATGTTAACTCTTCATGTGATATTACTATTTTCTTATTCTCTGTGATCCACGGAGTGAAATTATGATAACATTATGACATAATGACATTATGAACACTGTCACAACTACAAAGCCCTGAAAAATGATTGACAAAGATGGCAACAGTTCATGAAAATGACCAAAAAATGCTGTCAAAAATGTCTTTTTTGTGTTTGATTTTACACTGAACATGACAGAAAGGTAAACTTTCACTGAGATACAATAAAAAACAACCTATATAAAAAATTAATAAAAAATGTCACAATTACTGACAGCTCTCCATATAGTACATTTACTTCTTGGGTTCAGTGGGGTTTCAAGTGATTCTGTGGTCAGTGAACCATTTTTGTGTTGACCCAGTCTTAGCTTCCTGACAGAGGAAGCCAGATTCTGACTTAAAATTTCCTGGCAATTGATTTGAGACCATAATGCTGTCTTGCTATCACTGAGGAAATTTTTTCCTCTCCAGGTTTCCTTCTTATTGTGCATGCAGGCAAAAAAAACAAACTTTTCCAGGCAGGTTCAAGTAGGAGGTTCATTTTAGCACAGCACACATCACTGATGTAGTCTAAATCTGTATCTTCTTGGTTAAAAGTGCAGTGTTTTCCAGTGGTAGTACAGATCTCATTAATGAGCGCTGTAAAAGAGTACAAATGAGGCCATGTGCATTGTACTTGGCAGTCCCATTCTTTGAGCTTGTTTAGCCTGCTGCTTTGTGGCTGAGCTATTGTTGCTGCTAGAAACTGCTACTTCACAATAACAAGTACCTACAATTGACTGAGGTAGCTGAAGCAGGGCAGAAATTTGGTGAACACTGTAATTTGCATGTCTGTGCGCTTAACTTTATTCTAGCAATGGATGTGGCTGAAATAGCTGAATCCACTGATTAGAAGGGATGTAGGCCTGGGCAATGACTGACAAGTTACCTGATGACAATGCTAAGAGGGTGATACTTGCCATGTTGGGAAACTGACAGAAAACAAGAGTGGACTAATTTACCATTAAACAGCTTGCTAAATATGCTTGGAAACTGGGGTTCCTCCCATTCCTTTAAGAGGTGTGCAGGTGCATGCCCCAATATTCTGCTTTTTTCTGTTTATGAGAGAGACAGAGACATGGAACGAGACAGAAAAACTGCCTGGTAGTCCTCTCTGCTACGCACTGTAATGCTAGCTTTACCTACCGTGCATGGAACTGAAAATAAATGCAAACGTGCTTAGGAACTTCAGCTTACTTCAGTGTGACTCGCTGCAGTAAAAATAGCCAGGCTATTTTATAGGGTATTACTCTAGAGCAGCAAGCTCCATCCCTGAAATCTTTAGAAGTAGAGAAAGTTCATCTGATCCAATGAAATAATAATATATACACAATGTTTTATTTATCTTTAGCATTAAAACATTGAGTTAAACATTTTTAAAACATTTAAAACATTTTTAATGGCCCAAGGATTAACATATAACATCAGGTAACATATAATACCAGGTAAGGGTATAGTAAATTCCCCCACAGCCTCTGCTGTGCGTTTTCCTGAGTGTGATTTACTGAGAAAAAAAGTGCAGTATCTTTCATGCAGCTTAAGTGCCCCAGTGGTTAAGTTAAATTTTAAAACCAATGAAAACATAATAATACATGATTTTTCAAAGACATCTATAGCTGAACTCCATAGTTACTCAGCAATAATGACAGAAAGCACCTCAGTTTTTGAATGTGTAAAATACTGCTTTGGAAATCATTTTCAGTCTGAAGTTTCTCCAGCAAGGGGCGCTATTAGCACAAAAGTCACCATGAACTACACCAGAAGAAGTTCATGAACATATATGTTCATACAGTGATTATTTAACTATTCGAAAACAAAAAGTGAAGTAGTTTTCAAAAGATGTTTCAAAAGCATAAAAATGAACAAAAGTTAGGTCAAGGCTGATTATTGTTGGATATCACCCAGGACTAAAGGGGTGTCCACATAGTTTTTGCATTGTACTGTATTATATTCATTCATAATGTCAGGAAACCTGATGTACTTTTGCTTTGCAGGCTGTGTGAATTTAAATGTTTTGATTTTAAATTATTTTATTTGATGCCAAACATCAATGGTACACTTGCAGTATGAGGGATTAAATTAAACTTCCTCAAATGCATTTCTAACCTCAGTCAAAGCAGAAACACAGATTTGGACTACTTTAGTAAGGTCCATTGAGTACCAAATATCTGAAAAATACTTATTCACAGGTATATGTCAGTTATGTCAGTTTGAGGACATCACCCAGGAAAAAGTTTGGGCTTCAAAAGTGAAATGAACCTTACTGCATTTACATTACACATTTGCGAGCAATTTCAGAAACTATTGTCCTCAAACTGACATAATGGGTACTCAATGGTCCTTGCTAAAGTAGTCCAAATCTGTGTCTCTGCTTTGACTGAGGTTAAAATGCCTTCTAGGAAGTTTAAATTAAACCCTCATAATGCAAGTGTACCATTAATGTTTGACATCAAATTAAATAATCAAATTAAAATCAGAACATTTAAATCAAGATGAGATTAAGAGTAGAACTATTTTAATCCATGGCTCAGAAAGTGAATCTGAGTTTGTGCAGATTAAAATGGTAATTTAGTTTATGACTAGGCTTTATCCCTGTTCATGAAACCACCCCAAAGATATTGCTTCATTGCTTCATAAGGTGTTTGGCTAAGCACTTCCCCAATTCATAGGTGATCACACATTATACAAGCACACCAACATATGCTTTCCATTTTAGTGTAGGACACCTGTGAAGCACAACCACTCCAACATTTTCAGATTCCTCTATTTTCCTTCCAGAACTGCGCTGGAACCAGAAATCCTCATGGAACCCATGGAACAATAAGACCGGGTAAGGCAAATGAACAGACATACCCTTGAATGCTCGTGCAGCGTCTACAAGATGGGACCAATTGAGACCAGAGGTTGTGTCCGGCAGGGGCATGAGGCCAGCCTCAGTCAGCTTGGCTCTGTCTGCTAGTGAATTGTCAGAGGACCACAGCTCATCTGTACAAACAGCACATATCAGTGGAACATCAGAGAAGGTTCAGGCTTAGAGCTCAGCTCCCCTCCACCAATTATCTGCTATTCTTATTCTGTAACTGGACTGAGCTGCTGTGCAAACAGCTGTATGCTATTCTGAGTACTCTGTCTGTGAGTTGATCATAGAGCAGAAAGACGAGGGCTATCCTAAGTATGCAATGAGGATACATGTATTGGAGCCCCTCTAGATGAAAGTGTGTTTTTTTTAATAGTATCATGGTGGCATCACAGACAACTCTAATGGAACATTAATGTCAGCAGATAATGACAAAACTAAGCTACAATGCACCATCACAATGGTTGATGCAGTTGACACTCACTCAGCTGTAAACCTTTGCTACCAAAAAGCCATTTCACAGAAGGATTACTGGTTCAGTCTACCACCATGAGATTTCTAATAGTCATGATAAGGGTAGAGTGAAATGGTAGTCAGTAGCTCAAAGATGATTAGAAAGTAAGAATGAGGCCTCACTCTTGAACTGGCTAGCCGTATGGCTGAGGCCCAAATAAGGGGGCAGGGTACTGTGGTATGGCAGTGCACTGCTGAACAGGATGTCATTGGGCAGAACCTGCTCCAGTACGGAGCTCCGCAAGCTGGCCAAAGACAGCACCCTCTGGTGGCTGCTGTAAAGACTCTCATCTGAAAGTGTCCTGTATAGAGGGCGATGTGATGACTGACTCATAGAGAACATCTGGAAGATAGAAAGAAAAACAAAAGAAGAATTTTAAAAGAAACAGAGTTAAAAGAATTACAAGAAGAAAACACAAAAATCAATAGAGAAATAAGAAAGATATAAGAAGGTTGTTCTTTCATGTTAATTCAGGCTTTGATAAAGACTTAAAAGAAAGCCAAAAACAGTGCTAGTGGAAAAAAAACCTATACTACAATGAAACAATTTATTCATGGGAGAGACAAAATGCAGAGCCTATGGGGGTGAGAAACTGCAATGAGACACTATATCAGAAAACCAATATTGTGAGTTATGCCCCTCCTAACCTCCATTGAGAGAGGACAACAACAGCAAAAAATCAAACAGGTCACCACGTGCAACTACTCTCAGACCTCTGCTAAAAAGAATAAGATTTAAAAACAAAATTGGGCGAAGCGAAATAGGGTGAATTAACATGCCACTTGCCAAATGTTTTAGATTTGGTCACACTACAAAATGTTAGACATCTTTACATATCATCTTCTTTACATACAATAAATCGATTCAGGGCAGTCCAATTTGATGCTTTTAAAAGCTTAATAACAACCATGGTGATCTTTCACATTTTTCCACAACTAATGGGGGCTCATCATAGTACTATCTTGTCTAACAGTTTATTTGACTAAAGGAATATAAGGCAACAGACTGATGGGGATCAGCTTCATGAGATATTACCCAACACAATGTGCAAGTCACAGTACATCTGAATCCTTAAAACAAAATATCATGATCCAATCTACTCTTCTATACCCATTTATTATACTTTCAAATTTAACTAAAAAAATGGGTGCTGACTTCAGATCAGTAATCAAATCAATAATCAGATCAGTATCACTCTGTATGGTCCCTAGGTACCATGGAATGCAGTGCAGCCAGTGGCAGGTGAGGATTTAAACGTACTAAATTAACCTTCGTTTAGGTTGATTTTGAGAGGCTGGAAAAGGTGAGAATGTGTGTGTTCACATGCACTTAATAATCCGATAACTGCAGAAAATCAGATTTTGTCAGCAATCCGATAAACGTGTTTACATGCACTCAAGTAATCAGATAATGGGAAAACTCCAGGTCTACATGAGACAGGCAGTAAATAAGATTTCTGATTTGCCAGGAGCCAATAAACGCACAGAAGAAGACGTGATGTAAACTTAATGTAAACTCAAATTTCATGCCATGGCTTTTTAAAAAAAAACACTGCGCCACTTTATCTGAAAATATGTATATCATCTAGAAAATAACGAATATTTAAATCCCTCAATTTTGCACATGTGCAGACTGAGAAATCTGAAGAAAATCTGAATATAAGAATACATGTGCCTAGAAATCCAATAATTGAGCTAAAATTTACCTCTCCTTTTCAGATATCTTAAACAGATTTCTAGATTGGAGTATGCTGTTTACATGACTATTTGAATAATCAGTTAACTACAGAAATCCAACTATGATTGGATTATTGAGTGCATGTAAACGCACTTATTATGTCACCTTGTGCTCCTCCTGTACAAGCTGTAAACTGAGGAGAGAGCAAAATGCAGATTAGGACTGAGAAACAGATACAGAGAGATCAAAAGACAGAAGTATAGAAAGAAATAGAATAAATTAAATGGATTAAAAAATGGAACAGAACTATGGTGAACAAAAAATATAAACACAACATTTTTTACTGAAAAGATTTTGCTGAAACGTGAAAACAGGGTCGGTCATGAATTTCCTCATCAGTGCATTAGTGTCTGGTGTGACCACTATTTGCCTGTAGCAGCGTGACACATATCTAAAATACTAAAAAATAAATCATGGAAAATCATGAATCATGGTGCTCTGGGGTAAATAACTTATTTCCTTATTGTTCAGTTATTTTACTTTGTTTCAGTGGCAGCACTCTCAACAATTAAAATACAGATAACTAACTGTGCGATCACGGCTCATGATATATTTCAAAGCACTGATTTCATCTGATCAGTGAATTGGAAAATAAAACAAAAGATGGCATATAGGGCGGTTGAAAAGGAGACCCCACCCCACCACAACAACAAATGTGAGTTTAGGAAAACTACATTAACAGTAACAGCTGTTGAAACAGCTCATGTGTCACCATTCGTCTTAGCCTACTGTTCTCGTGATGTACATAGCTAGATTACCACCACAAGACCTCCACAGAGCAAGTTATTTGGGTGGTGGATAATTCTAAGCACTGCAGTGACACTGATGTGGTGGTGTGTTAATGTTTTGTGCAAGTACATACAAGTGCATCAGACAAGCAGAGCTGTTGGAGTTTCACTGATGGATTGAGAATCGTTCACCAACCAAAACTAGAAAGGAAAAGTTTGTGAACGAACTTTAAGTTGGCTTGAAATGGCCAACTATTACTACCTTAAATCCAATGCCTGCTTAATTCCACTGCCACTTATATCGGCTGCTGTCTTGAAACCCTTGCCACCTTAAATTCGCTGCTCCCTTCAATCCATTGCTACCTTAAATCCATTTAAAACTTAAATCCATTGCTACCTTATTTCCAATGCCATCTTAAATCCGCTGATACCCTGAATCAATTACTACCTTAAATGTAATGCCACCTTAAATTCACTGATACCTTATATCCACTGCTACCTTCAATCCAATGCCACCATAAATCCACTGCTACCTTCAATCCTGCCACCTTAAATTCACTGATGCCTTAAACACCCTGCCACCTTTAATTTACTGATACCTTAAATACACTGCCACCTTAAATTCATTGCTACCTTAAATTTACTGATATATTAAATGCAATGCCTCTTGAAATTTGTTGTTACCTTAAATGCACTGTATGTAGAATATGCAGAATATGTAAAATAACACATTTTAAATAACTTCACACCAGTACAACCCCCCACACATTTATATTACACAGGTGGTACTTGGGTGAACCTGTGGGGAATAAAAGTGTGGAGGTCCCTTCACTCTGTTTACCTCATACATGGCCTGCTGTTACTGTGTTTGTGTCCGTGTGTTTGTGTTTGTATATATATGTGTTTGTGTCCGTGTGTGTGTGTTTGTATATATATGTGTTTGTGTCCGTGTGTGTGTGTGTGTGTGTGGACTTCATGGAAAGGCTGCTGACTGGCTACAGCTGCAAAAGGAGAACCCCATGCTGAGCACTTGTGATATTTTTAACATCTAGTAATTTCTAGTTCTGGCTACTGGCTAGATCAATGTCATTGCCACTGACCTTGAAAGGCAATGGTTGTGGACATGGGCCTGTTGTGGACATTTTTTTGTTTATGTACAGTGCTCTTTTTTTCTGCGATAGCCACAATAAATATTTGGCCAATGTCTCTTTCAGACCATCATGGTATTTTATCCAAATTACGATTTCCCATACTTGTGCACCCTGGTTGCATTTCAATACAAACTTACTGCATAATGAAGGACTTTTTTCAACCCTTAGATTTACCATGGCTTTCAGCTAATCAGGCGTCTTATTTAGACCAAGATATCATTCTTTTGGAGTTGCAAGATGCACACTGTCCTATGAAAAAAGGAAAATCACCCTGTTGGGATGGGAGTACAGCAGAATTTTATCTACGTTTTTGGACAGAGCTTGGGCCACTATTTTTATGACATGATTAATTACTCAACAGCTAAGGGCAAATTCCATCAGGATGTGAACATGGCAAAAAGACCATTATTGCTTAAGAAAGACAAAGACCCAACTTCCTGCAGTAATTACCACCCAGTCTCACTTACCTTTGCAAATATTAATGTATTTGCAAAGGTATTAGCTTGACATTTAGAAGTAATCATGTCAGCAATCATTCATTGCAACCAAACTGGCTTTATAAAATCAAGATCAGCGGCTGATAATATTAGACGTCTTCCACATATTATTCACTCAGCAGGTACTCCGAAGTCACATTGGGCTATACTGTTGCTTGATGACATGAAAGCCTTTGATCGACTTGAGTGGCATTACTTGTGGTCCACCTTAGAACATTTTGGTTTTGGTGCTGGATTTATTGCCATGATAAAACTTTTCTACGCAAACTCATCCCAATGGTCCTTTCAGGTAATAAACGTTCAGTATCTTTTCCGCTGGGTCGTGGCATGTGCCAATGGTGTCCTTTGTCAGCCCTCCTGTTTGCTATTTTTCTATAGCCCCTTGCCTAAGCTGTTCGCAAATTGACTCTTGATTCACCTATTAGAGTAAAGAAGTCTCTATTCTGCTGGTTTTAGACAACCTAATAGATTCTGTTTCCCACCTGCTTATGTTATGTAATGATTTTGGTAAATTTTCCGGTTATAAGAAATTGGGATAAATCTGCATTCCTCACATTACATTTTCCGTTAGACCCTGGCTTGCTTTCAGTACCTATCCCAGTGGTTAGTCATTTAAAATATTTGGGGGTAGAGATATACCTTTCTTTGAATGATAATCAACAAACACTTTAATGATATACTGAAGCAAATTAAAATTGATAACTATAATTGGTCAAGATTACCTACCTCTTTACAGGCTAGGATCGCAGTGGTGAAAATGAATATTTTACCGCGAATTATTTTTTAGTTACATGATTACTTCACCTCGTCCCATACGGACTACACTTTCTCAAACACTGTCCTCATATATTTGGAATGGCAAATGACCCCGGATAAAATTATCCACCTTCCAGAGATGCAAGTCTGAAGGTGGGCTTGTGTTTCCAAATTTTAATATGATAAAATAGCACCATTCCCCACTTTTTCACAATCATAATGTGCTGACAGAAAACTCTCCATTATAATGCACCCAATGGGAGAGCCAAGAAATTCACATTTTAGGTGATAATTTTGATGAAAGATCCTTTCAAAATATTAGAGAGCAATTTATTTTACCTAGAGCTTCTTTCTTTAGGTATTTGAAGCTCAAATCTGCCCTGCGGTCTTATTGTGCATCCCTGAACTCTAAGTTACAGTTACATCGAATGCTTAAAACAGTTAATCCTTATAAACAGTGTGCTCAGTCTGGT